GATTCCTCGCATGTTGAGTCTTGGTAGGGGAGTAGTATTGCATAAGGAATTGTTCTTCCATCTCACCCCATGTCGAGATAGAGTTTGGCTCAAGAGTGTAGAGCCAATCTCTAGCTCTCTCCGTAAGCGAGTAGGGAAAAGTCTCAAGGAACACGTCTTCAAGGGTAGTCCTCGGTCCCTTCTTGATTGCCTTGCAGTTCATCTTGAAGTTTGTAAGGTGGGCATTCGGGTCCTCGTTTGGTCTCCCACGGAAACTCATGTTGTTGAGCATTTGGATGCATTGCGGTAGGAGTTCAAGTTCTTCTAGTGGTCCCCGATTGATACATGATAGTAACTGAGTGTGCTTCGGTTGTGTGTATGTTCGAAGCGTTCTAGGGGGTGCTTGGGCTGGACCTCTTTGGGCATTGACCCCTCTCAACAACTCTTCGGCCATCTCGGGTTGTTCTCTTCGTGCGTTGTTTTCTCTCAGCATTTCTTCGGCCATTCCCCACTGTCTTTGCTGTCTACGAGCGAAGCGTAAGGTCCTTTCTATTTCGGGGTCGAAGACGAGTTGATCTCTACCGGTTGTGCTTCTTGTCATGCACCGGAAGAGCTGCACACCAAAGAGACAAATTCCTCGCATGTTGAGTCTTGGTAGGGGAGTAGTACTGCATAAGGAATTGTTCTTCCATTTCACCCCATGTCGAGATAGAATTTGGCTCAAGAGTGTAGAGCCAATCTCTAGCTCTCTCCGTAAGTGAGTAGGGGAAAGTCTCAAGGAACACGTCTTCAAGGGTAGTCCTCGGTCCCTTCTTGATTGCCTTGCAGTTCATCTTGAAGTTTGTAAGGTGGGCATTCGGGTCCTCGTTTGGTCTCCCACGGAAACTCATATTGTTGAGCATTTGAATGCATTGTGGTAGGAGTTCCCATGCGTCATGGAGATTCTCCCCATCCTCTTGCACAAATGCATTGATCCGATTCCTCGCATGTTGAGTCTTGGTAGGGGAGTAGTACTGCATAAGGAATTGTTCTTCCATTTCACCCCATGTCGAGATAGAATTTGGCTCAAGAGTGTAGAGCCAATCTCTAGCTCTCTCCGTAAGTGAGTAGGGGAAAGTCTCAAGGAACACGTCTTCAAGGGTAGTCCTCGGTCTTTTCTTGATTGTCTTGCAGTTCATCTTGAAGTTTGTAAGGTGGGCATTCGGGTCCTCGTTTGGTCTCCCACGGAAACTCATATTGTTGAGCATTTGAATGCATTGTGGTAGGAGCTCAATTTGGATAATTTTTTCAATTTTATTTTTATTTGTGAACTAAATAACTTTGTTGTTATCGGTTTTAAAAATATTTTTGTTAAATGTTTCATATTATTATTATTATTATTATTATCGCAAAAAAAAAATTTATTTAATAAAAAGCCCGAAGCCCGGCCCGAACCCGCCCGAAGCTCTGTAGGGCCGGGCTCCGGGCCATTGATCCTAGACCCGAAAAATTCTAGGCCCGTTTTGAACCCGGTCCGAACCCGGCCCGACCCGCCCATTTTACACCCCTAAACATATGTTTCATTATTCCCAGAGATTGTTCATGCAAACGTGGCGATCAATAACCATTATTAGAATAAATTATGGATTTTTGAGTAATGTTTTGCTAAATGTAAGGTTTGTATATTTTTCCTGACATTTTATTTTGTTCTAACCAAAGCATTTTATTTGCCACATGAGAGTTTGCTTAATTGGGCTCAGACCTGTCGAGTTTGATCTGTTTGGGCCTATTTTCTTGAATTCGGTCCACATGGCGCATGAATGTTAATGAACCCATATCGTTTATTATATATACGCGCGTGTGTGTGTGTGTGTTAAAAATCATTAATAAATTAAATTTCTTAAACCCTTTCCCATCCCCTAAGTTAAATTGACTTTGAGACATTATTGCTGATTAAAAATATTGCGACATTGCGTAATTATATGATTAGACGGCATGACCAAATTATTCAAATGATAGAAAATTGATGTGGGGTTTTATATGGTTTAGGAGTCAAACCATATGACATTAGCAAATGTTTAAATATAAGAAAATGGTCGGGAACCTTTCCAAAGCAAATGAAGACAATCCCCAAAACCCAGAAGAGTTGAATGACTTAACCCCCCACGAATTTATATTTATAAATCGGATTTTAATGTATAACAGTTTTATAACATATATATATATATATATATATATATGTATAACCACCCGATTGCTATGGATTTGGTAACGTTGACTTGCCTTTTACGTGTTTTTTCTTAAACCGAAGTGACTTCGAAAGAAGCGTAAAAAGAGATAATATTCAGACACAAAATTAACTAGGTCCGTATTCTGTATATTCAAAACCACCAACCTTTAATTACTCGAGGTTTTGAGACACATATTTCAATCCAACAAAATATATTAGTAAAAAATTGTGGAAAGATCAATAAATCTTTTATTTAAATAATTTGTAACAAGAATATCTTTTTCCAAAAGAAATGCGATATAAACCCATATATAACAATGTATCATATATTTGATATAAACCCAACCACTAAACAAAGGAGCTTTTATATTATGGTTATTTATTTTCTTTGGTAGGTTATTAGGTAATCCCCAAAAAAATATCAACCTCTACTCAAATCCCTCCAAAAACAGTTGCTATATATATACACACCACCTTTCATCTTCATCTTGTGTCCCATGCAAACGCAGCTTCAAAACGACCAAAAAAAAAACATGACAGAAGAGTTCGAAAGGACCGGAATGTTCGCCGGAACTTGGTGGAATTCGTCCAACCACGTGTGTTCTTGGAAGAACTTTGATCTTCTCGATCCAAATTCCGACATAAGTCTCGATTCAACCTCACAAGTTTCGCCTTTTGAGCTGTCTTCTCCTGTACCATCGCCACCAGATTGGAACCAATCCACCATGTGAGAAAAAAGATTCATATATATATATACACACACACACACACATATATTTCTGGTTCATATGGAGAGTTTGGTTACTACATATTTACGTTCTTGATTCGTTTTTTATTTGTTGTTCAGTCACGGTGAAGGTTATGCAGAAGCAAAGTTCAATCCGAACACTTTCTTTGAAGGACTGTTCGAACCTCACGAGCAGTTTTCGAGTTCTTGTCCAAGAACGGAACAGACTGCAAAGCCTGAATTCTTGGACAGCTTGGCATTCTTCGAGAATGTTCTTTTCGACGATTCGGGAGTTGTATCGATCTTTCGTGAGTCCGAGCCCGAGGAGGAACATCGACCCTGCAAGAACTTCGCTTCCGAGGTTGGTTAGCTACTGATTAATACACAGTAAAACTGCTAATTTCTTTGAGTTTTCATATTGGAATATGCTGATTTGATGCATTCGGGATGCGGGTTTCAGATAAATGATGAAAAGACTGAAGATTTGGAAGGCTATGACGAGGAAGAATCGCCACAACTGAAAAGGCCGAGAATCGAGACACCTTCACCATTGCCAAGCTTTAAAGTCAGTACAGAGATTTTCGCCAAACCCTAATTTCGATCAGTTTCACAACCTAAACTCCTGTTTTGGATATGAAAACGATCGTGATTTGTCGAACTCAGGTTCGTAAAGAGAAGCTCGGGGACCGGATTACCACTCTTCAGCAGTTGGTTTCACCATTCGGGAAGGTATAAGACTCCCCATCTCTTATGACGTTATAAAAGCCGAGATTTAAAAATCCCGTAAGAGATCGATAAATATACACTTGAGATGAAAGCCTTAATTTGCAATATTTGTTCCCCTGTCTAATTTATGCAGACAGATACAGCTTCTGTCCTAAACGAGGCGGTAGAATACATTAAGTTTCTTCATGAACAAGTTACCGTAAGTCCAAATCCGACGATGATGAACTGCAAACTGTAATTACCGCCATTGATTTGTTTCTTCATCAAACCCTGATTTCATTTGTTTTTACTCTTAAAGATCTTGAGCAATCCACCACAACTGAAATCTGGAGCACCAGTTCAACGCCAGCCGCAGGTTCGTATTTAATTTCTCTGACGATCCTTTTGCTTGTGATTACAAAAAAAAAAAAAAAAGAACCTCTGAATGAGTGGATTCAAATAATTTATGGTGAGAAGACGTGAAATTTCTCTCATGCATACAGATTTCGGACAGAACATCGAATCGAGAATGTAAAAGACAAGATCTAAGAAGCCGAGGGCTTAGTCTGATGCCAATCTCGAGCACGTTTCAGATGAACACTTCTGATTTATGGAATCTACCCTTTGTGTAAACCTTAAAGCTAAGACAAAGAGAAACATTTAAACGAAATCTCACGTCTTTGAATATTTTAAAACGTGGGCATTTTAATGGAATTGTCTGAACTCTTGAATGGAGAAATGTGACCAGATATATGGACATATCGGTTTGAATTCTCCTGAATATCGAACATTATTGTTAGTCTTTGCATGGTTTATATTCGATCACAAAATCTTTGCATGGGAAAATTCGAAAAATCAAACATGAAGGATTTCGATTTATGTGCAAGTTATAGTAATTTTACAAAAAGGAAAAAAATCATTAAAAAGGGAATGATGCATTCAACATGTGTATAATTAGAATTTAGAAGTACTAGTCTAAGTTTCCTATCCATAGCCACAATCCCATTCTCTCGAATCAAGGGGAGATCATCACATCGTTAAAGGACAATAAAAGGACAAGAAAGCAATCGTCTTTAGACAAATAAAGCGAACTCCGGTTGGTAAAAAAAAAAAGCAAAGACAAATCCAATTTTTTTATTAAAAAAACATCTTTTCGGAGACAAATCATTGAGCTTCTTTATGATGTGCATTCCGTTCGCCCCCACTTTGAATATCAAATTTGAAAAAAAGGCGTTCGCCCTCGATTTGAATATCAAATTTCGAAAAAAAAATACGTATATTTTAAATCACGTTATTTAATTTCCGATTTTAAAATTAATTTGAATCTGGGTACAAAACACTCCGTTACAAAAAAAATCAAATAATTATATCAATTTTGATTGAATTATTTTATATTTGACTTTTTAAAATTTTGTTTTCCTCCTATTTTTAAAAATCCGATTCAAAATATATGATCCTAATTACAAGTTACTCAAACAATTATGGTTCTTGTCGGGCTAATGTTTTCAAAATATTTTAAAAAAAAAAGAGGTTTCAAAAAATACCCACACGACAAAAAGTCATATTTTGAGATCAACGGTAACAATTGGAGGATTCATGATTATAAACAACATCAACGGTCATGGACACGACATGACGAAGAGGAAAAAAGAGAGCATAATGTCCGAAAGGGAATAGATTCTGTGTACGGACCACAGTGAACACTGTTGCTATCGCCCACGAGAAGAACAAAGTCAATGCAAGAAAACCAAATGAACAAGGAACCGAACTTAGACCGACCTAAAGAAATAAACAAAACTAGGAATAGGTGAATTTTTAACGACCCAACTAACATTTTTTGACATATTTCTTCTTAATCTATGAATATTATTCCCAATCAAGATTCTATCTATGCTTCATCAACTCTAGACCTAGCCTTTCGGTATCGTTCTTCAAAACCTAACAATACCGAATCGAAAAACTCGACACCATTTCCGAATCGAACTGTCCAAAATATGATGAATATCGATAAGGGTATTCACCTGAAGCTGCAGTACTGAAAACCAGCCTATTCCCATCATGGTGGGAGCTTCTTCATCTTTTCTGCTATGGGATCTATGGAATTTCTTCCAGGACATACTTAAAAGCATGATGCATCATCACCATCATCATCATCATCATCATCATACGATTCTCGAAAAGGTGGCAATGAATCAGGCAAATAAACATTTTGGACAAAAAAAGGGATGAGAAAACAATGATCATCATCATCCCTTTTCACATATGCGTAATGGCCATTCAAACTCTATGCAGGACGACAAAATTGAACCGAAACCGACCAATATGACATGATCCCCGCTTTTAGGCTTACCAGAATCATCCACAGCTGAATCCTCTCTTTATTTCACACCTTCAACAACATTATTATGCACACACACACATATATATATATATATATACATATATATAGTATCTAACACATGCATATTTAAGGTGCTCTGCATGGGTTTAGGGTTCAAGAATCAGATACTTCCATGTAATAAACCTGATGAGGCATCAGTGCATTTGTCGAAAACAGAAAGGATATAAACGCTTCAAGAACGGAACGAACGATTAAAACATCGAAACGGATTATAATTCTTGAAAATGAACATTTTGAAGCAATTTGAAGCTACAACCGTCTAAAGAAACAAGAGACAACGGCAACATTTGTCTGTATGATCCTTTACCTTAATGTACAGAAACCCAAAATGATCGCCGAAAACCTAGGCCCTTTTTTTCCCTTTCTTTTGTACATGAACTACTAGAGGAGAAACAGGTAAACACAGAAAAACCCGACTCACTTCCATATCCGGACCATTCGAACCAGAGAGAACTAACACCCGGCCGCCACCCGAGAAAAAACTGATCTTTTTACTCTTCCTCTTTTAGCAGAAACCCGAAAACCCGACTTTCCCAATCAAGCAATCATTGAATTTCCATGCAAAGTTCGAACTAGACTAGCAGCATTCCTCCTGACTTTCTCACCCTCATCCTCCATTAGATTCAAGCATATCTCTATAACCCCTTCTATCCTAACCTCGTCAAGAATTTCCCGGCTACAGCAACACAAGCAATTCAGGATAAAAAGAGCATATTGCATTCCCTTAATACTCCCATTCCTCAACACGTTAACCAACACCTTAACACACCCACTTACTTTTATCATTTCATCTCTTCCTCCTCTGCATTTGGCAAGAAGTCCCAACACTTCCACCGCCCTCTCGAGCCCAGAATCCACCGCCTGAATCAAAATCGGAACCGACCCACAATCCACAACCCGTTTCCGGTTATCAGTAAATGAGCAGAGAGCGTACAGAGCCGTCGCGGCTTCCTTGCTCTCTCGGCCATTTCCGTTACGGAGAAGAGAAACCAGAGCAGGAATTGCATCAGGGTACGAGCCGATTGTGGCTTTGTTCACTTCCACGACAGCTAAACTCGTCAGCAGAGTAGCAGCAACAGCTCTGCAATCGGGCGAACCGACACGCAAGACGCGCACGATCCGCTTAACCACTCCATCGGCGACCAAACCCACTTTGTTGTCATCTTCGAGACTGAGATTCAGAAGCAAATAGAGCGCCTTTTCCTGCAAACAGAGACTGCCCGAGTCGACGCATTCCAGAACCGCCGGCACGGCGCCCGACTCAGTGACCCTCCGCCGCAGCGAAGAGTCGCGCTTCGTGACTCGGGCCAGGGAAATCAGGGACTGGAGCTTCAGCGAAGGAGACGACGATCGGGAGACGAGGGCAGAGACTAAAGCCTGGGGCTGCTCATCGTCGGCCCCGAGAGGTGATTTCTGAGGAGAGACACGGGCATAATTTGAAATTAAGCTCCGGAGAGCATGGTTGGGAATCAGAAGAGGACTCTCCGGCAACGGAATCTTGCTGATGGGACAAGTCCGGTTGCCGGAATCGAGCCACCGTTGGATTGAGACGCGGTCGAAGGTATGACCCGACTGAAGAATAACCGGGTCCGACATAATCTCGAGAGAGATCGGGCATATGAAATCGTCCGGAAACTCGAACGCCATGTCCACTTCCTCTCTCTAGGTTTCGAGAAGAGAGAGAAAGGCTTACAGGATCCCTGCTGGAGCTGTTCTGCTCAAAGGCTTCGCCTTTCCGTCTTCGAAATAAAAACCCACAAGAAAGAGACCGCAGACTCGTGAACCGTGATGCTTTTACCATGGCTTGCATCGAAATGACGATATTGCCCTTCTGTTCCCGTGGAAGAGGGCATCTTGGGGATAAAACGAAAGCCTCTTCTAGAAACGGAGGTTACTGTCCTTAAATTCAAAAGGTTTTCAGGAATCCAACCGAAATCGGCTCTATCAGGAAAGAGGAAACGTGGATTCTCGAAAATAATAACAAAATTTCAAGTAGATTTTTAATTAATATACGTGGCTAATGCAATTTAAAACTACCATCATTAATAACCTTAATAAAAAAACATTCTATGTTTACAAATCTTATATTCCAATTTCCTTTTAGGGCCAGATTGATTATGCATGCATCAATGTATATAATATCATGTGTATGTATCTATGTCTATATGTACGCGATTGAATATATATATATATATATATTAGGATTTTTAAAAAATTTTAAATATAGTTTTCACATTTTGTCGAAAATTTCAGAAGATTAGGATTAAACCAATCGGGTTTTTAATCAATCGTAATCGCTGTAAATTACATCACAACCCATCAAATCTTCAATCAATCATTGTAATGGATTTTTTAAAAATCCGTTTCTGATAATTAAAATAATATTTTAAATATAAAACTAAATCAATGATTTAAACGGCTCCATTTACATCACCAAAATCAAACGAATTTCAAAAAAAAAAAAAACCTTTTGGATATTATCGTCCAAGAACAAGAGTAGAAGTGATCTCATTGGAAGAGACGACGTACTGGCTGGAATCAAGAACGAAGTTGACGTCGATGGAGCTTCGTCTCGAAGCGAAGGTCGGCTGTCTGGGCAGAGCAAGCGCCGCCGTCTCGCTCTCCAGCATCAACAGAACCGAAGCCATGTTCGGTCGCTCCACCGCCGAATCCTGAACGCACAGCATTGCCACGTGTATGCATCTCAGAGCTTCAGGTTTCGAACACGATTCCCTTATCGACGGATCCACGAGCTCCTCTGCTCTTCCATGGCTCCACAGATTCCACGCCTGTATAATCCATTTTCGATGGTTAAAACCGCT